AATGCCGTCAGAAATTTATTATAAAAATATGTTATGTAAAGGACATCAGGAAAAAGCATCTGGATGTGTTTTGACTTTTAATATAGTACTTACTAATAACATTAGGTGTAACTTCAAGTGGAGTTTGTATTTGAACCTGTGCTAACTCTTACCCATGATTAGGTGGATTTTGTAAGACTGAATATCTTTTCTCTGTGAGAATTTCAGTTACCTCAGTCGCAGTGAATTGGGTAGTAGCCAGTTAGCAAGACCAGCGTTTTCGTGATGGTGGGGTTACGCTCTTGTAGGTGAGAGAGGACAAATGAGGTGGTGGAAGCAGAAGGAGAGCATAAGTGAGGAAGCAAGAGTTTACATGTGAACAGCTTTACAAATCAAAGACGAAGCTGCAACAATGGATTTCTGTTGTCAGGGATGTACTATGTCAGTTTCACGACGATTTAATGATCAAAATTAAGAAATACAGAAAATATCCAGGAGGGTATTTGTGCTCAGTGAATCCCTTGTGACCGTAGAGGTAGGTGGAGGAATGCTTTACTGGAACTGTTCCTGCTCAGCAAGGCAACACCCTGACATCATTGCTTATCCCCAAATCAGACTCCAGGTGTAGCAGCTGCAAAAATCGTCCTGTCACCTATTTCTTCTTTATAGCTCTCAGACCCCCATTATAGTCCTTAGGAGAAAAAGAACTTCTAGGATGCAACCCATCTGCTTTGTATATTCTACATAAAAAATAAAATGAAAGATAACACAGACTGAATGAAATGCACCTTGGCATGTGTAGGAGTGGACCTCTGCACTGCAAAAATGGGCGGGATGAATCCCACTCCAGGAAATAGGTAAATTATGCAGAATACCCTAGCTTATGCTGGGAGTGTAGGAAGGGCTCCACACGCAACCGGGAGTTTTCAGGAGCTTGCAGGACCCTGCCGTGACAATCTGAAAGGGGTGCAAGATGAAGGTTCTCACTCTGGCAAGTGTCAGCTAAACTTTGTCTGGCAAGCACCTGCAAAGTGGGGTGATAGCTTGGTAACAGGGTGTCCCTTTCAGCATGCTTGGCTGATTTTTTACCTCATCTTCACTGAGGAAGGCTTTATCATCACAAGGTAGATGATGCTAAGGAGAGCGCTAAGGAGATGGGGGAGAGGCAGTCAGGTCATTCTTTGCCTGTATTGACTTTCTGAAGACATTAATGTAGCATTTTTTTTTGTTACTGTTAAAATGGGAAGGAAATTTCTCTCGTTTGAATCCCTCTTCACATAATGAAAAAGAGTATCCTGCAAAACGCCCAGTCGAGAACAGTGAAGGGGACTCTGTGTAATGGTTAACAGTGAAGGATGGCTATGTGAGTCTAGCTCATCTGATAATAGTAAAAGCCACACGGCAATTATTCTTGGAGACAGCAGCAGACATGTATGAGTACATTTCTAGGGGACTAGGAGGATTGTCCTGTTAACAGCAGTGCCTTATTAGACAACCAAAAATCAATCCCGTTTACAACATGTTTTGGGAGTCAAACCTTTTTTTGGACAACAAGAAATAGCTGATAGAATGAAGAATGAGATGACTGATGGTTCAGAAATTTGTCATTGTTAGGCATAGAGAACAGCGGTGGGGGGGATTTTCCCTAATATATTTAACGGTACTTGTATATTCAGCAGATCAACACTGAATTTTGGGGAGAGGGTGGTCTTTTTTGGTCTTTTCCTTCAAATGTCATGAGGAAATTTGCCATTATAGAACCACACAGAATTTTAAGAATTCTTTTTTAAGAATTTTAAGAATTCTGTGCTATGAGCACAGTTTTCATTTTCTATAACCATAGACATATGTAAATCGTTTCTTTTAGAGGAGAAAATACATGTAGAGGTTACATAGGGAGACAAGACTGGTACTGTTGCTGACAATTTTATAATACAATACATGCATTGTCATTACTTGCTGCAATGACTGATATCAGCTATTTCTCAGCTATTTCTATGGACTAACGTTAGGTTGGTCTATTTTCTATTCACTATATTGTATCTCTGGTGCAACAGTTGTACTTTTGCTGACTCATAGTTTTCCATGTCAATAAAAAATATGACAATACAAATCAAAGGCATTTGCTTCTCTTTTCCATCCCATGTATTTGATGCCATAGAATATACATCTAATAAAACTTGGCATGCATAAAGGACATCCACAGTGAGACTATTCTTTGTTTTAGATCATTAAGTGGGTAAGAAGGTCAGATGCCTCATAGGAAGTGAGCAGTAGTTCTCCTCGTTTATTGGAGGCTCAACATCTTGGGAAATTGAACCTTAGAAGAAGTCATTCTAGAGCTTAATATAAGTTTGAAATGTAGAGGTCCTGTTACAGATGATACTGGGATTTTTGACAAGTATTTTCAGGGGTTGGTAGGTTTATTGTCAAATACAGATTGTCAAATACGTATTGGAAAGAGAGTAACAACTCACCAGCTAGGTTTCTTGGCAATGACTGTTAATTTATAGTGATTTAAAATGGCTGATTATATTTATTTTACTTTCTTAGGAATGATTGTAGCTTTAATATTGCACTTGGAATCTTCTATTTCTAATGTGCGTACTGCTTTCCAGGTGAGGGCAGTCCATACCCAGGATCAGTAGTTTTTCATTATATTATTAATCCAAGGAATGTAGTTAGAAACTCTGACGTAAACACCAGGTTTCATAGGTTGGGCACATCCAAGGCCCCAGGAGGTGACTCCATGTTGGACAAATTTATCTTGATCAAGACAGACTAGAGGTCCTCCACTGTCCCCCTAAACAGAATGAGAAAGAACAGGATGACCCTCTCAGTGACAGATAATATGCAAAGACTGGAGTTCTCACAGGTGGCACAGAAACAGAAATATCTCTTGCATGTGAGATCTACACAAGTTATAAAAAAATACCTGAGTTTTAGCCAGAGAAGAGTTTTCTACACATGTTGGTGGACATTTTTGTAAACGTATCTCTTCTCGCCACCCAGGAATTACATTTATTTTTGAAGTAAGGGGATTTGGTGAGAGGTAATCTGATTGCCCTTAGTAATTGTTAAGTAGTAAGTTGTTCAGTCTATCCTCCGAGGTCTTTATGGCTTCCTATTTTTACTCGATGATCCAAGACAAGCCGAATGCATCCATTCTTAAGACAGGAGTGCACATCCCTCCATGGCCTGCTTGCCCCTCACAGTACTTGCATTCAGGGTAGCTGTGCTGCTGAGGCAGGTCAGTACTTGTTTTCAGAAATCTTTACAGAGTCATTTCCAGCTTTTCAGGGAGGAAAGTTTCCAGTTTGATTCACTAGGTTAAGAGCATTTGCAAGCCCTTTCACGCATTTAAAGAAACTGAAGAACTGAATTTAAAAATCTAGACTTCTAGAGAGAGACTTCATGCCATGCCTGCTAGGCATTATGGACAATTGCCAATAATATCTTTCCTTTTCAGCAAAAGGAAAGCGTAGCATGTAGTTTGCCTCACACGGTGTGATTTTAAGTGCACTGGCAGCTTGGTACATCTGCATGGCAGACCACAGTGTATTGTTACTTGATCCTCAGATGGGATGACTCAAATTGTTAACTGAGATAGCTTGGATACTGGAGATAGTCTAGCTGAGACAAGCAAAGTAGTCTGGGGAAAACAAACCATTAGTCATTCTAAGCCAGTTCCTGTACACCTAGCTCAGGTAGCCATGCACTAAGATGTGCTCAGTAGTTCAGACTTCCCTGAAAAATTACCTGTGCCACTTTGTAACAGCAGGCAAGGGAACAAGGGAAGAGCAGAATCCATGTGCATTGTTCAGCTCTTATGCTATGTGGTATGGCACCATCCTGAGGCCAGTTCTGGGCCTCTAAAGCCCAGAAAGCAGAGCACTATTTGATTTGAATGTGCTTACAGTGAACTTTGACACTCACAGACTTTCTTACCTGGCAGGTGTCTGTGCCTCCATGAATATTCCCAGCACAGAGCTCATGGTTTTTGACTTTTCCATTCAGAAATTCAGGGCGATTGCATATTTTATTCTCAATTACAGGGAAACCAGTTTCCTTTAAGTAGCCATCTCCACCAGTTTCTTTGCAAATACAAAACAAGCAAAACAAGATAAATGACAAGGATAAATGTGCAACATCATAGAGAGAACATCATGACAGCAATAAGCAGTAACATGATACCACAATCTTTATGCACTATGCATAAGCTTGCTGCACATAACATGAAGTAATACAAAAATTAGTAGGCATTATCATGACTATGGTACCTATCACTCTCTACCCATCACTGAAATCCACATAGTACTGATTGCCCTCCCCCATCCTGCAGTACATCCCTACGGATCTGGTGCCCACTGATATCTGTGGGAGTTGTTCCCAAGGCATTTTATTTCTCTATATGTGAATTTTCCTATCTGTAGAAGAAGGGAGGTAGGAAGTAAACAGAAGGTGGAAAATGACATCAAGAGCACAAGCAAGGAGGCAGAGAAGGTACTGCTGCTTTCCTCAGTCAAAGCACTGTGAGAGGTATTAAAAATGAGGGTGTGCTTGCATTTGAGTGAGATCTTCTGGACCAGCCTGGCTGCGAGAAAAAATCACTCAAGAGGATGAGCAAACTCACCTTCATGTGATTAGGAAATAGCCTAAGTCTAGAAAAACTTTCCTTTTGTTTGTTTAAATGCCTGCTTTGGGGAAAAGCAGAGTGGACTGAGCTATAAGAAGTAGTAGATTCTTAGGTTCAATTCTCTTCTTTTTGTATGAGTTTAAGGAATTTCAATTTATATAGCTCTGAGTGACAGGAGAATCTAAACTAGAGGGGGACAATGGAAAGAAAGGCAATACCTGGTGAACTTTGATGAAATACATGCTCACGCAAGCTTGTTTGGGGTTTTTCTGACACAGAGAGCATTCAGTTTGGACACAGGTATGTACTGTGTTCTTCCAAGACTATGGAGCTTTCAAATGCATTAATGTCTCACCTTTTGTATCCCCCCAGCCGGTCACATAGCACTCCTCTCTTCCTCCTAACACGGTATTTTCTCTAGGCAAACAAACTGGGGTTATATGGTCATTGATGACTGCTGGGCTGAAAAAAACAAAAGACTCCTATAAGAAAAATCATTAGCACATTTATCCCTGAGACCACCTTTAGGTTTCTGAAGAGATCTTATACACAATCAACCTTTTTTCTCTGAAATGCTCAGCTTCAGGTAAGGGTGGGGGAAGTGAAACACAACTCATTTTAAGGTGGAGCACTGTCAGGTTGCTAGTGGGACTCTGAAATGACTTCAAGAAAACTGTATTATTGATGCAGTAGAACTTTTCCAACGCTGTGCTCCTGTCCAAGCAAGAGCAATAAGAGCTAGCAGTGCTCAGCACCCCTGCAATTCAAACATCACAGCCTTCCTGGAGGAATCTTTTCTTTAAGTAAGGTTTTTTCTGAAGTGCACTGTATAGATGTATTCCTTTGGACTGCACAGCACCTTAAACAGCGTTTATAACCAATGAAAATATATGCAGGAAGGGCCTTACTTGGTATTGCATCAAATGTGCATGCTGTTTGAATGCACACTGATGGGGTCACATCATCCTAATACTGCAAGTTTCACTCCTCTTGACTTTATAAACATAAAAGCATGTTGGGAAAACCACAGAGTGAAAGCTCCTCTAGGCATAAGCCCTCTCCTACTCTGCCACCCCCACCTCATCTTACAGCAGCTGTTACTTAGTGCACTACCAAATTGGGTCACTGTTCCTCTCTCTCCTCCACTCCCAAATCAGCCCTTTCCCTTTCTGAAGCTCTGCAACTGAAACACCTTCGTTTCCACTAGAGCTTCTGCAGAAAGGGAAGAAAGAGACGCAAAGGGAGGGCTTGTTCTTAAATAGTTGATTAAACCCATTGGGTGTAGGAACAACATTCATTTCCACAATGCTGACACACACTGTTTGGTCAAAATACAGACAAATCCACTTGTCACATCAAAACAGAGGAACACCTCAGGTGAAATGGTACCTGCTCAGTTTCAGCAGAGCAATGTCTACCCCATGTGGCTCCTTGAACAATTTCTCAACGTCTCGTTTTTGCACTGATGTCTCTAACGCTCTTTCTCTGTGTAATCCAAGGAATACTTTGTATGCAGATGGCCGTGATGACCTATTGGAAATGGTTGCACATGGTGAGCAGATAAGCACACACCCAGGATGTAGACTACTTATGACACTGTTGGCCACCTTGTTATGTCAAAATCAGAAAAACAATGCCATCTTTGGCATAAGCTTAATTTCTTAATCTCTTATTACCTGCACATGAAATCAAGGCTTGCTATGCGTATTAGTTGGTAAAAGTTAACACTGTCATCCATTTTTTTTCAATCAAAATTCTGTTCTAATGATTGATGAACAGCCTTGGCTCAACACTAAACTTTTTGAGAGACAAGAGATAGTTCAAGCTGGTTATTGGGCCCATTTTTCTTCTCTGATTTTTCTAAACCATGTAAGAAAATGTTGTTGCAGGTTACAACAGATACTTACTTTTCTAAACAATGAGCTGCAGTAAGAACCCACTGTGGATCTATCAGAGTGCCCCCACAAAAATGTAGGCCAAAACTGCAAGAGAGCAGAAAGACATGAAAAAGGCATAAGTTTAAGTCTGAGAAGTTAATTCTATTGCACTGCAATTCATGATGTAGACTATCATCCTTCTAACATATAGGCCTTTACAATCTGAAGACATTATTCTGCATTTTCATTAAGAATCAAACATTTTGTTTTCCTTGGACAATATTTCTTAGAGTGCTAGTAAGTTCTGTGGACATCTTTATAAGGCCTTTTATGAAAACAGCCAGATCTCTGTTTTAATTAACCAGTATTTCTGTTACTGGAAAACATTTCATGCAGTGATGTATCCACTTTTAGAGATTATGCCTTTTACTTAGCTCTGACTACAGCCAGACAGCTTTGGAATCAGAGTGGATACTTAGTTTTGCTAACAACTTAGCCATTAGGATCAAATGCTCAGGTGGAAGGGCTGATCAAGATGTCTACTAGCCATACTGCAAATTGCTATTTCAACTTGCGAGATACTGGTTCTGCTCCAGGATACAGTGACAGTTTTAAATTCATTCTGCATTTTATTGAGATAACAACAATTTTCAAATTACCAATTGTGATTATTCTATAGGTATTTATCACACAACTGGAGCATTCCTGAGTATGTGAATGACATTCCTTAATATTATCACAGAAATTACAAGAAATAAATAATTTAATGTTTATTTTCAAGTTTTAGTTTGAAAGGATTTAAGCCTTGTGCTATTTTTAAACTAAAAGCAAGATTCCCATTAGAATGTTGCAACTACATACTACAACATACTGTAAGATGCAAGGTCTATATTGTTTCCTGGTTCCTTGATTGTAAAGTCTAATGTAATGTGGAAAAGCTATACCTTGTCCGGAGACTGACTTGCCAGGGCCAGGAGTGTGGATGTGAAATACACCCAGCAACAATCCTTTGAGCGCACAGCTTTGGCCTGAACTTGGATTTTCCACACTCATACTGAGCAGGAGCTTTAGAATAAGAAAAATCACTATGAGGAACTTCAAAGTATTTGCTATACCGCTTACTATACTCAAAAAACTCTGAAGTGAACCTGTTACATTTATGTCTTCACCTTTTGATTCCCTGTGCAGGCAATTATACACAATAAACCACCTATATGTTGTTAGGTTACATTCATCTGGAACACTTAAAATTGCCTGTATCTAGTATATTACTTTCAGTATAATGCCTGGCAAAATTTTTTCAAGCACACTTTCCATCTGTATATCAGTGGGCAGGAAATTATGCAAGAATGGAACTACAGTGTAGGAAAAAAGGAGGGGAAGGGAGAGAGAGAGACAGACAGATGGATAGAAAGAAAGAAAGAAAGAAAAGATACTCTCCTAACCTCTTCTTCAGATGTACTTTTACAGATGACAGCAATGTAAAAGCTGCACTACCAGCTGTATTTGTACTTATCTTAGTGGTATCTCAGTGGTAATTCAATCACTGTCTTTGGGTAACAAAATTTTGTCCACCTTCTGGTACTTCAAAATGCCTCCAAACACTTCAAAAAAGGTTGCTTTTGTTTAGTTATGGGAAACTGACTTTTAATAATATGGCATGGAGAATTTGTTGGTGCCAACAAAAGATACTAATGAAGTTAAAGGCACGAGCCATGTTTCCTCTACTCTTTAACTGAGCAACTGAAAAAAGTGCTAATTTTAAAGAGAATTTGGATCTACAAAGTGAAGACTGTAATTATATGGAAAAGCTAGTTTGTTTCCCCTAAGAGGCCCAGCCCAGTATTTTGAAGGCAGTAGTAATTTTACAGTTACAGTATATGCATGTTATGGAATATCCTTCTTTTTCTTGCTTGCTCCATTTTGGGCTTTTGATCAGAGATACTGAAATGTAAAAGCACCTTTTCTGCTGCTCACAGGAACAAGCTGAGAGGATACAGTGGCAATAAAGTTACCCTTCTTTTGGGTGTTTGGAACCACCTCTGTTCCTGGCATAGCCTTTGCTATTGCTGGATGTGAAAGCAAAAACGCTCTAAAACATTGTAATTGCCCACTTTGCCATACTGCCTCAGAGTACTGAACTGCTTTACTGCTAGTAGCGAAGATAAGGGAATATGCTTAAACATCCGGGACCAGATGCACTTTCCACCATCACATACGGCACAATACCAGAGGAGGTAAAATCTGATTTTATATCCAGGACAAAATCAGAACTGCATCGGCAGGTTTGGGGTTTTTTTGTTTGTTTGTTTGGGGTTTTTTTGAATTTTGCTTGAGTAAGAGCATCTCCTCTTCAGTGCGGTCACAAATATGACTTGGTTATGCCAGGTGACCAAGCAGGAATAGGAGGAAATTCTGTAGGAACAGCCCCATTTTGAAACACATGGCAAAACCCTCATGAACTTCAGCAGGCTCCAGCTAAATCTTGTGCTGCTTTTGGAGATTCCAAGGAATAAGCACCATTCTTAAGAGTTTAGACAAGGATTTTCAGTATCACTTCTCTGAACCTTAATTTCCAGTCTAAAGCTATTGCACTCTCTTGGATCAGTCTCAGATTGATCAGTGAATGTCTTCCAGTGTTCATACAAGGTTATAAGAAAGGGAGACACTAGTCTTTAAAGAAATAATTACGGCACTTGGGAATGTCACAGTACTCCCAGGCTTTTCTTGGGTCTGTTGTATAGCACCAAGGTCCATTCACGTCTCCATCAGGATTCCTGCAATACTGTAACAAAGAATGAAAACACCAACTATTAACGAGAGGACAAAACAGTTTATCAATGTATATGTTAAAATAATACTGAATTACATTTGGGAAATAGTTTTTTCACTTTCTTGCTGATGAAAGATTCCTAATTCCTTTTGGCAAAAATTGTTGTGTCATTTTTCTATTCCCTCTGTGGATTTAGAAAAATGTCATAAAAACGATATTCGTACAACTGTCTTCAGCCAGCAAGATCCACTGGTGCAAGCTTAGACCTCTAGATTCTCAGGAAGTTGAAGATCTTGACCTAGGACATGGTTTTCTAAAGAACTAAGCTGTCTACTCCTGCTTCTGCTGCAGTTAGTAGGAATGGTAGGGTCAGCCCTAAGGTCTTTTCACACCCCATCTGCTTGCATGACTGTGCAGCAAGTGAGTATTGTGTAAGCTGCTCTTGCACAACTAGATGATGCCTATCCATCCCAGAGGCACAGCTGAACACTTCATTTCATTCTGATATAGGGTGTCTGGTCAGCTGAATCACTCTCTAGGTTTCCCTGGTCATACTGACCGATCTCCATTCAGCACAGACACCTCACACAACAGCATGCAGTCAGGTGTAGACCTGCGAATTTAGACGTTTTCATCTCAAACTGAGTCCCACTATCCATATATGCTTCTTAGCCACTCTAAAATACTGCAAACAAGACCACTGCCACAGACCTTCTAACACAGTTCTGCTCTTCCAGAGTATCTTCACCCTCTCTCCCCTGCCCAGACCTCGTGTTCAGTAATGCAGACAGAAGAGAAGGAGCATGGGCAGAGAACAGTTTGCCACATTGTCCACAGGAGTTGTCAGGGAGAGTACAAAACAGTCTAAACTCCTGAACTCGGACTTCCTCTTCTCAGCCTCCTTTCTATTTTAGAAATTCTACTAGATATTTTTTAGCTCTCTTCCTTAATCTGAAACATATCTAATGTTTCAGGGAAAAGGAGGAGATCTCTGTTTCCGTTCCACAAGAATTTATTATTTGCTCTATGCAAGAACCAAAAAGTTATGACAAGCAGCTTTTTCAGAGGGAGTTTCCCCAATTTGATCTGGAATTCAGTACAGCTTATTTGATACCATCAGAGGACTGGTTAGACCAAGCTCCAAAACCATGCACCTGGAGAAGAAATAGTTCAAACGAGCAACATCAGACAAGCTCTTCATGTCACATACACAGCTTACCAGAAACCAGGTAAATATTGTGTGGGAGATGTTACAAATCTTAGCAGCCATCGGCTGGGAACAGGAGAGCTAGTAACAGTTAGGCATGTTAGGACTAGAGAAGAGGTGGGGAAGAGTTACCGAAGGGTTTAGAGGTATATATATTCTTGTAGGATGGGCTATGGCATGTATATGGGAGGATGGTATTAGTAGAGAATGAGGGCTTCAGTCCTTCAAGTATCTACCCTAAGGAACTTGCACTGAATATTGGATCCCTCACCACCTCACCCCTCACTGATACCACTGAAACCTATGATCCCCAGTTCCTCTTTTCAGCAGAAATCTCTCCAAAGGCAGAGATACTGCCCACAGACCAACTCCAAATAGTCCTCACCTGCAAGGAGAAGCAAATCATCATCTGAAGCCCTTTGCAGGGGCTGCAGAAGCATTTGACAGACCTACTGGACATCTGTGTCTCACAAAAGTATAGACTCCTTACATTAACAAGAGTTAGCACAGTCAGGATCTTGGACTGACTGAGGAGAAGAAATTAATTCACAAAGATCCAGCAGGAAATGTTTGCTGAGGTGTCATGAAGAAAGGAGAAAACACTCCATGATAGCAAGCATTACATGAACAGCTGTTTACATTTTTATCCAGGCCTGCTTCTGGATGAGTCATGGGAGTGAAATAGTCATGGCTATGAGGTGTTTGAGAACTCCATGCTTGACAAGTCCTGCCCCTTCCAGTTTTTGCTGCTGTGCCACGATAATCTTTACCATTACCATTTATACATTCTGCAAAGAAAGAGGACAAAGAAACAACTGTTAACCATGAGCCATTGGGTCACATCCATAGCTGATAGCACTGAAACGGAAATAAGATGGAGTAATTACTTCTAGGACCAACGCATCCTGTATTGTATATATATAAGGAAAGAAGGCTAGGACAGTGTTAATGATGGCTAATGATCACATTTTAATTTGTTTTATTTTCAAGGTTTTCTTCACGATCATGAAGGTCAGAAATCAAAGAAAGCTTAGACTCCTCATGACTCTAGAAGCTAGCACCACATAGACCAACTTTTATAAAGTCTTTTTCTTATGGACATTGTCACCTGCCCCTTTCCCCCCATTTTGCAATATGTAAAGAGCAGTCATACACTTTTAGCCAGAATTATTAGCTGTTTAACTAGTAGAACATGACAGAACAAAAAATGAAAATTGCAGCAAACTAATCATCTACTCTACAGCAAAACTGCATCTGAACTGAATTCAGAAATGTGAAGGCGTGGCCCAGGAAAAGACATCCTAAGAACAGCTGCCAGCAAAATACCATTATTTCTATATTAGCTGTCACTGCTGTTAGCCCTCTCCCAGTAGCGTAGAGGCTACCAACCGTCGGTTTCCTTGAGTTTCCTATATTGCAGGATGTAGTAGATAAAAGATGTTGTATCCATCCAAAATTGTATACAGAAACTCTGCTATAAACTTCTACAAGACTGTTCAGAAAATTAATAGAATGAATACAGTCTTATATTAAATTGTATAATTATTTGGAGTTCCCTGTTTTTCATCCTCATTAAATTCTGTGTGACTTTTCCATCAAACGTACATCTTACTGGTTACCAATGCTCTTTGGGGACTTGGGAAGTATTCATACCAGGGTTTGGTTCTAGTGTTGTCTGAGGAGGTTTGGGTAAAATCGCTTGCGTAGGATCTTCACACCTCTTCAGGTTGCAGTACTCCCATCTTACACTGGGGTCAGTGGTGTAACACCATGGACGGCTATCGGCATCTGGGTTTCTGCAATAATTCTGCTTCAGGTCCCTACAAATGTAAACATATGGTATTCCCATTCACGCCAAAGCTCTGAAAAGAACTTGAAAGAATATTTTAGAAAATAGGTATGGTGCCGAGGTAGTAGATATTCATTTTTTCCATATACCACAGAAATCCTTTTTCTACCCAGCCAAAAAAAAAAAAAAAAAGCAACGTTTGCAGAATATTTAATTATGCAAATACATATTCACTGATTAATACTTACAGTAGTAATACTGTTTCCGAATATAGATGAGTAAATGTTCACACATATACAAATATAACATTCTTTTTACGCAATGAAAGAGATTAATAGCTTTTAAGAAGAAACTTTTTTTTTGTATTTTGGAATAAACAAATAAATACTAAATATTAAGATTAAGAAAATAACCCATCCTTTCCTCAAACTCTATAAAACTGCAAACTAGCAAGCAAAGACCTATGCCCCCGAATAAACTCACGAGTAGAAAGAGTTCAATTCAGCATAAGAGAAAGTTTATGACACCTCTTAACCCTTTTCAAAGTGATGTAAAAATATGTTTTAGACACTAAAACATAACAGTGACAGCGGTGGTCTATTTTAAAGTTGAAATTAATAGAAAATGTTTCCACATTTAAAAAAATAATGAAAGGAATAATTTTTATAGAGTACATTCCCAACTTTAAAATCGTTATTGTGTAAAGATGCTGCAAATAAAAATATGCTCATTAAGGGTTACTGTTCAGTGAAACACAGAAATGTGAAATAAACATACGCATCTGGAAATTGTTCTGCCGTTTTATTGTGACGATGTGGTGACATTGAGTTCCAGGCTTGACATTTCTTTCCCGTGACAGTATGAGAAGTCGTGCCACGATAATTCATGCCATTGCCTTGATAGCACTCCTCAGTAATTTGAGCCTGCTCAGGCACATCAACAGCTGTAGTGAATAACAGAAACCAGTCCCTTGCATCTTAATACTTTGATATTTATACGTGAGCATAGAAAAACCAACAGAAAATAAAAAACCAGAGTAATTCTAACTGCCAGAGGATGCTCTCTGTAACAAAGTCTTACTCAGACTATAGATCAAAAGGAAGATTTCCAAAAATGTTTGTGAAAATGTTGCGGACTGCTTTCATATGCGAGATTCTATTCATTACAAGCACTGGTACATCAATCTTACTATCATGCATACAGATTTATTTCACTTAAAGATCCAGAGAAGTTCACACTTGGATTTAAATTTCTCCAGAGTAGAGAATGCCTGTGGTTTTGCCACAGATGCATGTGTGGAGTAAGCTTGCCTTGTGTAAGGAGAACTTTCTTTTGATTACTTTTTATGGAGCCTTGATTCATTGCCCTTAAATTATCCTAGGTTTTGCTTTGAACTGAATTTTTCAGGAGGTGGCATATGAAGCTAATTATCTTCTGCATGGAGCATTTAAAAATTTCGAGGTGGGGGGAACACTACTTGGCAAAAGGAAAAGATCGTTGTTACTGTAATTTTTCCTAAGCTGGGTCTGTAGGTGATTTATACTTTCTCTGCACTTTTCCACCAGACTGAAAGTAGAAACCTGGCTCCACACCAGGCCCAGGAGTTCAACTGATATATAATAATAATCAGAGTGATAGCAATAATACAACTGATCAAAGATTCACCTGATATTTTTCAAAACAAAAACTGAGGACACCTCACTTACACATTGAGATATCTCCTGTTGTTCTTACCAGGGTTCTCTGGCTCTGTCCCATCACAGGAGGGTATGGTGCAATATTCCCACCGAGCGGTTCTGTTGGTGGTGTAACACCATGGCATCTTCTCATCATCGGGGTTTCTACAGTAGTTTTGCTCTAAGTTCCTGAAACAGAAACCCTAACTAAGAAAAGCATCTCATGGAGACCTGATAAAGGCTATGAACAGTAGGGGAATGTACCTTGCTGCCCAGTTTACTGTAGTATTTACAAGTGAATAACTGTTGCTGTCATTTGTTGATGATACATACTTGGTTTATAGATGAGTAATTGCAGTGCACTGGTGTTTTGGATACGACACATCAGTTACCTGCTAGACTGACAGATGTACTGAGAGATTGTACTTCGTCTAGTACTTTGAACCCAAGAGCAGCATAGCAGAAACATAGGGTGAAAGAGTCTAACCACAAGGGAAGATCATCATTACAACTTTCTTACTCCACGTTGCTTCTCCTGAACAAGAATACAGTAAAAGCATAAACTGAAGAGGGGGAAAGACATTTACGAAGAGCCTGAAAGCCAGAGGAGGATACACTAGTACTCAAGAACAAAGAATCAAATAAAAATAAAAGTGAAAAAAGAAAACTGAAAAGAAGGAGTGAAACAGGAATCATGCAAGCTGTTGTAACATAAGAACAGCAGAGCTGTTACTTCAACAGAGTTGGCGAAAGATGAGGTAGCTCTGTGCCTTGGCACTTCTCATGGACGCTGAATAATGAAGAGGTTTCACTTACTTGCAGGGATAGTTTTCAGGAGTGCGGGCATGTTTGTGAGGAGACTGAGCACTCCAGTGCTGACAGGTATTTCCTGATTCAGTAACAGATATCTTGCCTTGGTAGTCTTCTCCTCTTCCTGACAGACACTGCCGCCCTGGCTTGGGACTTGGTGGGGGGCTAGCTATACCAAAAAAAGGAACTGAATTTGAGCGTTGTCTTCAAGACATATAAGAAAAAACAATTCACTTTGACTTTTACAGTTAAATTAGAATTTCTTTTTTGGCAAGGTTTAAAGTCTAAAATGTTTGGAAAGTCTGAAAAGTAGAGAAAATATCTAAATATATCTTCTTATCTCTTCTTACTTCCGCTTTAACATTTTCACGAACAAACAGACTTCCAGAAGGGCATTTCCATCCACTTTTTTACAGTAGTCAGGAAACTGGGATGAAAGTGGTGGGCACAACAGCGACAGATACAGGTTACAGGTACAGATAAAAAAGAGATGTACTCTAGCTGGTGAGAGCTAGAGACAGTGAGGATGAGGCCTAGAGAAAAATTCCAAGCAAAAGTAATGCGGCAAGGGCAGGAGTTTATGGGAAAAGAAAATCTAAAAAGGGAGAATTGAACTGGAGAAGCAGAACAAAGATCAGAAGATTTTCAGGAAGAGTGATATTGTTTAGCATCAGATGGGGAACACAGAAGAAAGATAAGAACCACTGAGACAGCTGGTCATGAAGAAACACACCCAGAGAGACGTGTTCCAGGCAAAACCACTAGAAATGCCTATGACAGAAACCTTTATCACCTAAAGAGCTACCAGAGGTTCATTTTAAGGTTATTTCTTTTTCTCTTCAAGATTAAAGTTAGTACAATCTTTTATTCTGTCTTTTATGTTTGAGGCCTTTTCTATTTGTTCTAGCTCTTTGCAAAATGGTCTCTTTGTGCCTAGATCTCTAAAAGGCAGACTCACTGCAACGAGGTATGTCACAATATTCCCAGCGTTTAGTGGGGCTGGTAGTGAAACACCAGGGTCTAGGTTCACCATCAGGATTACGGCAAAAATTCATTTTCAGATCCTTCTCTGGAAAACTGAACAGAAAAAATTAAAAAATAGAAGTCACTAGTGGCTAACTGTAATGATCAGCCTCTCTGCAATGGAGTGGCCTTCCAGCCACCCTGACAACAAATTATTCAGCACTGAGTCTGACTCACCTTTCAGGCAGGTATCCATGAGAGTGAGGCTTCTGGGAGTCCCAGTGCTGGCACTCAATCCCAGATACTGTTGTTGCAATTACTCCGTGATAGTTTTCTCCACTGCAGTGCATGCACTCCACTGTACGAACAAGGCAGCATGAAGACAAGACAGCAAATCACTATGGAACTGGGCCATAAACATTCACATTGATCTCACCTGAACATCAAGAGTATAATCAAAGTGCAAGGCTGAAGGACAGCCCTTCTTTGGCAAAAGAAAAAGCTTTTTTTCCCAGTAAGGTGACTTTAACTGGTTGATTACATCTATAGTATTCTACTTTTAAAAAGACTATGTTTTTAAAAGGAGCTAAATTAAAAGTATTAAGCTATGATAGAAAATCTGTACCTTGCTGCTATCATGATTTTTGACTTTTGCTCTAACAGCTATTCTTTGGTCCAATTTTAGGATGATGGTAAGAAAATAAACTAATATGACATCCTTTATCAGGGAAAAAAAAGCTTGTACAGCTATTTTCTTTTTTTTTCAACATCTTCCTTGTTTGTACTGAAAACCTCTGAAAGGTTCCGGGTTGAACTAAACTCAGGTTTGGAAAAAATTCTCACTTAAAATGAAAAATAAAAGTATCATAATAAGTTCACAATCTTAAACATATCTTCCAAAAAGGGGAAAAAAGGTACACGTATCCTGACCTTCGCACTCTGGAATGTTACAATAATCAAATCTGGTAGCAGGGTCTGTTGTGTAACACCAGGGTCCCTTTACATCTTTGTCGGGATTTCTGCAGTAGTTTTCCTCCAACCCTGCATTGGGATGTTTTTCAGGTGTGTAACTGTAACAGAGTTAAAATGGGATTAGATGATAGGGGAAATGTCCTGCCTATTCAGCTGACTGAACTCTAGAAATGAAATCTCTGTCTGAGGACCGTTTTGTAGATGTCATTCATTAGAAGTCTCCTTATTGCTACTGAGGGTCACTGGTGACGAGTTAGAAGTGTCACAGCTATAAATTTCAAGAAATATGTTGTCTCAAAGGCTAGTTACATCTTTAATACCTGCATTTACACCAGCTGTTCAGCTTCCAGTAACTTTTGTTGAGCTGAGGTATCTTTTTAATACACAGAGAAAAGTCCCTGTTGTCACACGCGGGATGTTCCCTGGGAGATGCAGTGAGAGGATGTTCACTGAAACATGATAGAGCTCTCCGTAATCTGAATGCTATATTGTGTCAATAGGAGGTATTAAGTAAATCCAATTGGTCTGTTAATAGTCCATGGATTCACTGATAAAATAATGTACCTCCATCTCATCTGCCACATTTTATACCTTAAGCCAAGGGATGACATTCTTGCCCTGATGAGATTAATGAAAAAGTCTTATTTCACTTCAGCAGAACCAAGTGCTTCCCTGTCCAATATTTTGTTCATTTAAGGACCAGAAAATTTAAAAACAACTTGCAAAACTGACAGTGTCCCCTTTGATCACGTAACCCCCAATTGCAGTTCTCCAACTTATGAGTTAGATTAGAGAAGGATAAACACGGGAAATTATTTCATAAGAAGAATCTGAACACCAAACAATTTGCCTATAGAACTACTTAGTACGTGCAAACTACTTAGAAAAAAATCAGAAAAAAATATAAGCAAATATGAAAAGGCCATACTTTGGTTTATGGGGTACATTATCAGCCCACTTCTGGCATTGCACACCCTTCCGAGTTTTGGCTTCTGTTCCTCTGTAATCCACCCCTTTTCCCTTCTTGCATTCTAGAAGATAAACTGAAATGATACGTTTGATTAATCAGTATCGTCATGTTTCTGTTGGAATGAAGCATATAGAAAATCCATTTTCATGCTAATACATTAAATATATTTGGCCATATTCTGAGTGTCTTATGCCCTTAGAAATAGAGAGCTGACTTTATAAAAACATACTAGTTATCTGATGTCAATATTGAATTAATTAATATTGAAAAATGTATGTGAAAGCCCAGAGCTCCTAAATGAGAATTCTCAGAAAAATAGGCCTAACAAAACATGGCTCTTTGGGGTACATGTTACAGTAGATTTAAATGATAAAATATATTTTTTATAGGCATGATAACAGAACACAAACACATTCTCTTTCGTTGCCTCCAATGATACTATTATAGTTTGCCTAGTAATTAAAATCAAGCCTTAAAACAGAACTGTTCAGTTGAAGAAGATAACAGTATAAAGTCACAGATACATACACACAGCATTTTACTGGTTTAAAAATTCAGTAATTTTAACTTGCTCCCACTTGCTACCTTCATATAAATACAGATGACAATGTTTCATTAAGATTCACCTTGTCACGAATGAAATTTAATTAATTCACAATATTATGCTGAAATCATGACTCTCCACTGTACAAGATAAGATTGATAGTTGGTTAAAGGTACATATTATAAATACTTTGAGCATTCTTAACTTTTGGAACTTAATTGTGTGTCCATGAAAAAAAAAAAAAAGAGAAGAAAGAAAGAAAGAGTTAAAAATGAAACTATGTCTTTATAGAAGTTAAGAGGAGTTCTTACCGGTGACTTAAGCCTGGATTTCTATTGGTAGCCTTGAAAACATAAAATAATAATGAGAGCTCAACATGGTTACTTTTTCCTGGCTGGAGGAAAGAGGAACCATAATCACATTGCAGCCTTTAAGATTGTGCTGGGAAGATGAAACAATTATCTTTCCCTTCAAAGAGCTCATGGCTAAGACCGGAAAGCAGGCATGTAAGGGTCAGTTCCACCAAGGCGCAGCTAAAGGAAATCAGATTTCTCTAAGTTACCTCAGATCTTAGATATCTGTGGTTTTGGAAGAGCCACTACCTGGCAGTATGGCCTCTGGCTTTGAGAACTAATCAGAAGACTCATCTAATAGCTCCTTTGCCCAAAAGTCATGGGTTCACATCATGGTGCTTAGCAGCAATACTGGCTTCAAGTATTCCCAGCTCCCCAAAGGTTCCTATTTTCCCAGGGTTTTTTTGCATCACTTTCACAGAGGTATCTGTGCGACTGTTGGCAGGCTCACACTGTTAACAAGATCTAGCTTGAAGGAAAACTTGAAAAAAGCCTCACACTGTATTGCAAAACTGCAGCCTTAATCAAGCTATAGGGAACAAAATATAAAATAGTGAATGAGGAATGTCAGGCACCCAAACCTAAAGCTGATGAAAACCAGCAGAAATTCAGACCCTTGTTCACGTACCCTAACACACATCACGTGCACAAATGCCACTCTGTGCAGGACCCATCAGTATACAACATATATATAAAGGAATGAAGATCTCATTAAAAAGTATCTATTGCAAGGCTGGTCCACAGTGCAGGTTCGTGCAGTTACAAATTCATCATCTCTGAGTCAAGAGTTCTATTCACTTTTCAAACAGCCAGTAAAAGTTAAATGATAAAATCAGTTGTTGCCATAGGCCCACAATCCAAACACACTGGCCACAAGATTCACAAAACTGTCTCAGTGTAATTGTTTATTGTGCTTAGTAGCAGATGTAACAAATCATCGCGCAGTCTCTTATTTGGTCACTTAAGATAGGCTTCACCATGCATACTTCACCATGCATTTTTTTCTAAAAAAATAGAGACCAAATTGAAGCACTAATCTGATTTTATTTTTTTCAGGAATATTTAGTAACCTTTACTTGTTCCCTCTACTCAAAATTTGCCTATGCACAGGGCATATTTCATTAGCCAGTTCCTCCCTTCTAGTGACAATGAAGCCATTTCTCTTCAAGGCTGCGACCTACAGATCTGTCTTGACGAAAGTGAAAAGAATTAATGCTTGAATCTGAAATTAGTTCCATATCTTCTATAGGCTGATAGGTAGTTTAGATCTGTATTTCTCGGTCTATCTTTAGGATCTCCTTTATTTCAACGTATATATGGGAAAATACTCAGTTTACTGTAGAAATTTTAGTTGGAAGCCATTTGGATCCCTCAAGAGTTTCGCAATAAATTAACATTAAAAACACTGAATAAATGAACACTGAATCATTCAAGTGCTGACTCTCTTTGTTTGCATAAGCTTTTGACCGTTTAAATAACCTTTAGTTTTCTTTTTGACCGATGACAAACAACCAGCTTCGATCCTCAAACTCAATGCATGTCCACTTGGGTTAACTATTTACGAACAGGTACGCAGATAGCAATTTACAAATTCAAGCTTTACTTCTTATTACTCTCTCTGTAACACAGACCTGGTTAACCTTCTATTTTACACACAATAGGAAAAACGATTTTAAAAAGCTGCTTTTTGTGCCAAATAGCACCCACTTCTTGAAAGCAAAGACAAAAAGTAATTAGCTCTCAGATACTAATTGCTTCTGATCAAAAAAAAAGTTGATTTCAGCAACAGTATTTCAAAAACATCTGGACATGTGATAGCAATTTCCTTGAAATATCAGGATAGTAGGCAGCTACTAGGAGTAGAGACATAATCTACCTAGGTATATGCTACACTTTTGTCTTGTGTTCTGTAACACAGGAAAATTAAATTGATGTTATCCTTAGATAACATAAATAATCATAAAGATAAATAATCATTTAAGACTCTGAAAATGAAGAGATGAGTAAGGGATGAGAAATCCTTTCTCTCTCACACACACACACACACACACACACACACACACACACGATAGATAGATAGATAGTCAGATAGTCAGATAGATAGTCAGAACTCTGTCATGCTTTGTACTGGAATCTTGGAACTGTCGTTCAGAGGTAATCAGGAAACTCATAAGCCAGCAGAGAAAACAGAATAATTGAAATAAACTTCATGTTTGATGCTCCTAATATTTAGGTCAATCTTTTGATTTCTATGGGTGGATGTGAGGACAATTTTTGGATATTTAGTTTCAGTAAAACTACAGTTTTTCACACCTTTACTGACGGGGTTGCTCTGCTTTCCAAGAAACTAAGATCTGTCTGTGACCTCAAAAGGCTTAAAAGGATGCAGTAGCTAATTCTCACCGAATGCTGCAGGACTGTTATTCAGGTTCTAATCTCAGTAAACCCAAATGACATCTCAAAAATAGCAGGCTAAACTAGAACCATGGTCCAGCTTTTGATCACTGTACTGAAACAAGATCAGTAAGGAATTTTTAAACATAAGCTATTTGTCTAGTCTTTAAGTTTTTTTACTTGCCAGTGCATCCATTCATTTTTCATTCTCCAATAGCGACAGCAGAAGATTTGCTTATTATTATTTAATCACGAGTTAGGGAAACTCCTACCAACTTCTGGCTATAATAAAAACATCTTATGTTCAAAATATTAAATTATTTAGCAGTGCTACGTATACCAAAAGGCAGCTGTTTATGTACTTCAGAGAGTTAGTTCCAGCTGTTATAGACAGGTTACTCAGGCAGAACCAAATTCTCTGCCAGCAAAAATAATTCCAGTAGTGATCTGACCATTTAAAGCATCAAAGGATTTTCAAGCCATACGAGGAGTTAAATAAAGGCAACTGGTTACTGTTGTACTTCAATTATATTCGTTCTGGTGATTTAAACAGTTAAAATTAAATTACAAGTTGATATGAAAATCAGAGAAAAGTCAAGTATCTCCTGAAAGGTTATGTAAAAATACAAGAATTATACAAAATCATGGAAAAAATTAGCTTGGAAAGCACCGTTGGAGGTCTCTGGTTCAAACTCCCATTCAAAGCATGGCCAGCTTCTGAGCTGGATGAGAATCCTCAGGCAGGGCTTTATCCAGTCAATATCTGCAAGGGTGGAGGCCCTCTGGGCAATGTGGTCCAGTGCTTATGCATCTCCACTGTGAAAAAGTATTTTCCTTATATCTACAATGTCACAACAAAATCTCATTTGGATGCTCAGCTGCGATTTAGCCAAAGCTATGAATTTATTACAAGAAAATCCCCTTGCAAGTACTGTACCCGAAAGGCTGCTTTATCCAACAGGGCTTTCAAGGAAGTCAGTGCAGGAGTAAAGATGCATTTAGATGGGGCTCATTGATATTTACAGTCTAGTTGTTGTGATTCTTGACTCTCGCTAAGGACCTGGCCTATTGAAACCACTGAATGATTTGCATTAACTGAGAACTTGGAGATGAACTCCATGGTTGCTACTATCCTTTCCAAATTCTGAATATTTTCAAATGTGTCAAAATTAAAAAAAAAAACTTTACAAATCAACACATGGTGAAAGGCAATGTTCACTATGTCATTTAACACAGAGCAGTACTATTTCTATAAAAACAGTCGGCTAATTATCTTACATGTCTGAGTGATCAGTAAGATCTTTTTTCCCTGGTGTATTACTAAAGTCAGAGAATGAGACAATGAAACTTACTTTACACTAAAAATGAAACACATTCCTTCTTTCTCATAGATAGCAAAAGTTCAGTGCTTGATTAAGCAAGTCAAAAATTGTCTTAGAACCCAATTACATGTCTGCATTTGGCATACGGTGATAGATTTTTCAAAAGATGATCAAGAACTTGGATTTTTGACATTTCTTAAAGACAGACTTACTATCTTCCGATAGAATGTCAGATTAAATACACTTCAGTCAAATCATCCCCATTTATGACAAAACTGAACGACCAGGAATAAAATACATAAATAGAGAATCCAAAATATCACCATGTTCATTAATTGTATTCATTAAAACATAGATTAAGATAAAAAAAATCATCAACGTTCATTAATTAAAGAGTAGAAACATCATATAACAATACATAAATACTATAAAAATAGCTCATTTTTAACTGAAGAATAGTTAATACCTCTAATACTTTTGACAACACATGAAACTAAAATAAAGTTTGTTTGAGTCCTGCCCAAGTAAATCGTGAATTTTTAGAGATGTATATGAAATGTTCTGATAGTTGCCATCAGTTTTCCAGTGGGCAAAGGCTTATTGCAGAAACCATTGCCAGCACAACTTCCTAGTAACCTCAGCAGAGGCAGAAAGGTTGCAGCTACAGGTTATCAGGCTGGTTTAAAAGAAGAAGGGAGTCTTAAGCGCCTCAGTAATTCTGAGTGCCATTCTCATTCCCAGAGCTCTCTGCTGCCTCGTGGATCCTGCTATCCACATTTAGGGAGTAGGAAAAATGCTAGACTTCTGATCTGGGGAAAAAACTGGCACCAGCACTTTATCAGCAATTGTGGCAAGAACCAGGAGCTAAGGAAGGGCTGACCTAGCCTCTTCACATGATCCAGGGAGGACTTAGACTCCTGTTTTTACAACAGGTTTATGCAAGTTCCACTGGAAAGCAAAGCTCAGTGAAGTAATACCAAAATATAGACATACTTCTTTTTTCATAAAGAACGGCATTTGTTCTTCTGAATATTACTGCTGTTTTGGTGTTCTCAGCCAATGTTAAACACTGTTGGTCTTTACTGGTGAATAAGAAGGCCCTGTTGAAATTAAAAGGAGAGACCAATGTAAGAAACAGTAATTGAATGTGTACATTATCATTCTGAATACCTTTTCTAGTATTCAGTTATAATTTTAGCAAGCACTTCACTTCAGCAGTGTTTAAGATTTACTAATGTCTCCCAAATCACTGAGTATCCCAGCTCCCATTTTCAGTGGTGACTTTGACCCCTAAGTCTCTATATCAAACAGGTTGAAGGGCAGCTACACGAACAAATTATGGCAAGGGAAATAAAAGAGGATTTATAATGTGTCAGAGACTCCAGGGAACATGCTAAGCACAGCACCCACACAAGGGACTTTGGCCTTCTTTCAAAAAATGCAGTGGTCATTCAAGAAGCAAGATATTCTGCGGTAAATTCAAGCATGTCAGCAGTTACCAAGGAGCAGGCAAAACACAACAAGCCAGCACCTTAAATTACCTTATGATAACTGTTCTATCTCTTCATATTCAAAGCAATGTAAGAACTTTGGAGAATACTGCCATTTGTCTAGTCAGTAAGTGCCCAGTTTATAAGACATCCTGTAAAACTAGAGTGGATGGTGTAACCTTTACATTATCATCTAAGGAAACCTCCTGATAGTCTAAGTAATTTCTGTGTATGTCTGCCGTTTATGAATCAATAATGAACAACAGCAATATGGCAGTCAGTGGCTAAGTCTATACCAGGGAACGAAATACTGACAAAGCCTGTTTTCTAGCCCTGACGATAACTGACATGGTCTAGATGCATCCATACCTGTAAATTCCTACAGCTTCCAAAAGAGAATGAGCACATCTGAACTTACTGCTGGGAATGCTAACTGCCAAATGGCGTCCGTGAGCTGTCTGGGGAGTGCTAGCTGTTCTTGATCAAAACCATGCTAGGAGCTGTTCTCGCTGCTCTAAGCCCAACTCTTGGTAGTGTCTAATTTACAAATAGAGAAGTAGCTAACAAGGATGGTCCAACGCACTGCTAAGGACTGATGACAAGATTGGAACATTGACCTGATTTCATTGTTTTGAAGTACTAATTTAACTGTCCTGCAATGCTGGCCTTCTTATTTTTAAGTTATGCCTACCATTCACATTTCCCCCAGACTCTTCCCTGCCAGATATTATCCATTCTTTACTGATTTGAAGAAATATCACTGATCTATCAAATGTAATTAATTAGGGAGGCAAGGACAGAACGCCATGATGTTATTCCAGTGTCAGAATCTCATAAACTTTGGTGATGCCGAATCCAGTCTGAGGCAGAGGCTGAACATGTCCCAACAGGGAACAATAATCCTCTACAAACTGTAAATATATAATCTGAATATACCGTCTCAGCCTCTCTGTCTTCCTTTCCACCTGCTTGACCTAAGTATTACCGAAGTGATGCCTTCTCTGTGTGGTCTCTAGAGAGGGGAGTAGGATCAAAGGGAGCAGATGATACTTCACACACTCAGGCAGTGTACCTCTGTGATCCTTTATTATTACATCTCTTTAAAATAAGTGTAATTTTCCCTTCTGATGCTGGGTATTCCTCTTTTTTAGATTTAGAACACAAAGTTATAGGACATGTCAAAAACTCAGCAGCAGGGTATCCCTGCTTTGAATAGAAGCCCTGATAGGGAACCAAAGGCTCCAACTCTGCAGACAATTCCTGTTCAGAGTTCAAAAAGTGTTCCACAGAAGTGGTAGATCAAGAACTCTTGAAGATTAGAGAATAAAACCTCCCCAGTCATATGGGAGGAAAGCCTCCCACTGCATTAAAGATTATCTCTCTTCATTACTACTACTGCCTGCTTTACTGCTGAAGTTCAATGGTCTTCTAGGAATTAAGAGTACAATAGGCTTCATTAAGATAGGAGTCTGAGCAAAGGACAGTGGTGTAGACTGGCCAACACCCTCTGTGTTCCCTAACTCCCTGGGCCTGGTAAAACGCAGATGTAGAGAGAAGGCTTGGATGCAAATAGGATTTAGGACAGTCAGATGGTTAAAGTTTAGATGGCTGACTACTTCTTAAAGTGAACAGAAGTTACATAACTCTAGTAAAACTCAGAATAATGGATGTGGCTGCAGGATAATTGGTAATGCAATGAACCTAAGCAATGTCATTACCGTTGTACTAATTTCCAAGCAATTTTTTATGACTGTTTATGGCAAAAGGAGTGTAAAAGCATTAATCAAACCACATCAAGCTGTTTTTCAATCTGCCAGATTGTGCATCAAGATATCATAATGTTTTCCAATAAAAATCTAACACCATTTTTGAACCTTCCATATCGGTTTTTGCTGTCTTCACCCAAATCTCCCAGGCATTCACTTTCTACATATCTTCTGTTTTTCTCACAAATTTCAGAAACACATACTTCTAAAAACGTCTCTCAAAAGTTCAGTCAATAGATAAGGCAGAATACTTCATCATCTGCATTGAAACATATGGGAATCAGCAGAAATTACCTGCAAGTGAATTTGTTTTCAGTTTCACATTGCTGTGCACAGTCTTCTTCACTACTTGTCTTATAAATTTGCTTCTTTGGGCTAAGCAGCCAAGCCCCCTCAGTTCTTACATAGCCATCTAGTATATTTCCTAGGGCTAAAGAAGAAAAGAGAAAGAGTTAAAAATGACAATGGTAATGCTAATATGATTTATTTCAAATTTTCTTATTAAATTCTATGTCACCTTGGTGAGTAACCTCATTTAATTACAGTAATAACTGTGTTAATGGTGACAAAATATGAATAAAGCTTATGTCCACTAGTATGGTAATGGGTAGAGTCATTGAAGCAGATGGTAGGGAATACAATGGAAGGTAGGATGGAGATGTGGCTTTAACAGTGTTTTGTATCATTTGGAAAGTCATAAAAAGTAGCACCAATATAATGCATAAAATGGTGGGAACAGAGAAAAGGATCCAAGGAGTGAAAAAAATGACACAGTTTCAATGACAAAAAGAAATAACTGATAGTTCATATTTTGGAGAGAGTGGAGAAATGGGACTCAAAGACAATGTGAAATAATGACTGTCCATTTGTGATAACTACCCGTGTGAAATATGTAATCATTTCAGTTTTATCAGTTGCATCACAGTTGCCTCTCTTCAAAGACTTTTGCAAGAAACAAGCCAGCCTCAGTCACTGGGGTTACCACTGCGCTCATGTTCAATTTACTTTTCTTGAAATAACTCCACACTTGAGCTCACATAATAATCAAAGCAGCAATGTTGCCCTCCATTGGAATAAATTAACATTAGAGAATAAATTAGTAAATAAATTAATCAGACAGCCTCTGAGCTACAGCTGCACACGAAATGTATTGGATAGGCATGCGTACAGCTATAGGGACTAAGTAACTCCCAAAATGTTCAACTACCATCCTTCTCATAAAGGAATTTGCATCTTTTTCAATTGTTCCTATTCAAATTCTGAATACTAAGCTATAGTTTGCAGAACTATGACTTTAAGGATTCCAGCACCAGGGTCATGGATTTGCATCAGTCTTGTGGTTTTTACAGTTTCTCTATCAGATGAAGATATGACTGTACTAACTTTTGGCTCTGAGAGTTCCCCATTCTGCATGGTTTCAACTCCAAACGCATATTTCACCCACAGTCTTTGCAACATATCACAGCCCTGCTCTGTTCACTGTTCTTGTGCTTTGCTTTATGCAATTGCTGGACAAAAGTCATACTGGGTAGGAAGGAGACTCTGGCTCCCCTCATGGGTGACAGCTTATCCAACAAAGCTGCAGAGACGGACTTCCTTTGTCTTCTTCCTTAGCAGTAGCCCAGTACCAGCAGAAGGGGCACAAAGCAGGCTCATCCAAGCCTGACCTATAGCCTGTGATTAGGGGACTCCCCAGGGCTATTCGATTAAATGTCTTTTAGGCTGAGGAAGGCTTGGCAGCTACTACACTTTCTTATGGTGAGATATATAGGCACAAATGCTTCCTGATCCTGTTAAATTCCCTCCCGTATGCCAGTTCAGCCTGCAAATTAGTACTGTTCTCAATGATCCTTTTGCATTAACAAGATAAAATTAACAAAATAGACATAAGGGACAAATTATGCTTCCTCTCATACTATTGCAAACCCAAAGAAGTTACTGGAGAGTTTTTTGCTGGATGTATGCTCTTGTGCGGTAAGGCAGAGTTTGGCCTTGGGTCCCTATCCCTAAGGGTTGGCAGTTTAACAGTATGCAGGAAAGAAAAAATAGCTAAAAAAAATAAGATACATTGAAAAAGGATGCAATAAAAGTTCACGTGACAGGGACAGGACTTATTGATTCCCCTAGTTATTTCAAGCCAAAAATGACATTAGAATGAAATTAGTTTAGAGAGAAATCATATTAAACTAAGGTAGAACAATATTATAGAGAGGCTGCAATTCTCTCCCAAAAGGACAAGAAATTAAAGTAAAGAATTCCTAATGTATTAAGGTGTGGCTTCCATGCAACCTTAATTCTGTTCTGATATGACACTTTGACTTGACCTTATCGTTATAATTACAGCACTTAATTTTTTAAAACATTGGTTTGATTTGGGCCATTAAAATATATTTTTTCCCCTTTTCTCTTATGATTACATGGCAGGGCATACTACTTTGAGAAAAAAATGAAAATATATGTGATAAGAACTCAGTAAGTTTTCTTGGTATCATTTTTTTAAGCCTATGCAGGTCTCAGTGTAAAAAAGATGTATTACTGCCTTATTCAGAAATGCAAATATTTACAGGAACGTGACAAAGGATTTGCATATAAAAGCAGACAATTGCAGACAAAAGCCCAAATCTTACAAATTCCTGCCCACATATATAATTATTAGTTACTCAAGAAGTCTCTTCTGATTTGAATGAGCCTGTTCACCTGAGAAAACACAGCTTAGAAATTAGAATTCAAATTTAGGTGCACTTTCTTCAACATTAAATAACATCTATAATATTCCTACTTCTAAAGCTAACTAATTATCTAGATATAGATTTTACAACTACATATATCAAATTTATATTTACTGTTATTTTTGCATATGTGTTTGCGAACTTGTAACTATATTTTTAACTGTAATTGCTGCTGTCCATGTCATTATATAGAATGCCTCCATGAAGACATGCCATCTGAATGCCCTAGTAAGATTAGTATTTTCAGCACATAGAATACTTGAACTTTCTGTAAGAGTTACAATCTCCTAAAACTCAAAATATATATTTAAAGAGCTTTACTTAGTTCTTAGCATTTTACAGATGATTTTATATCACCTTTCACAAAAATGGTCTTAAAGCAACTAGATTACTGCAGGTATTAATACTGTCCAGATTTTGGCCCCCGCTGCCAAAAATAAAATGAAAATTTTTCTCATAAGATTGGGCTATTAAACGGACTGAAACCTTAGTGCAGAAAGGAACTTTTCATTTTCTTTTTGATTTAGATTTAAATGTTGCATCTAAAAATTTGTAAACCTCTACCATAGTGGATCAAAATCAGGATTACAGCGCTTGGCAATGCTTGGCAGTAAAAACAGCTCCAGGATATGATCCAAAGCCTGCCGGAATTAGAGGCAGCCATCTCAGGGACTGCGGTGGGCTTTGCAGCCGGCTTTTTGGCCTACTTTCCAAAGGCGCCTCCCGTCCTGGCCATTCGGCACGGTTGGAGGAAGCCATTTGTTCTCCACGCGGACGCTGGCGACTCGGCCGTTGCCTCTCCGCTGCCTCCAA